TATATAATATTATTTAGGTAACTGAGATCAATTCGACATCAACATTGGGGCACCACAGCTTGTAGGACACCAGGACTGAACGAGTATAACTCATGAGATATTGGGACCCTATTTTTATTTGTAAGATGTAATCCTACAGTGTGATGTCCATCATTGATGTAATCCTACACTGGGAGATTTTACCTATAACTGCGGGGTCCATCATTGATGTAATCCTACACTGTGCTGCACTCTTAGATTCAAGAGGAGACAACAGGCGGTATTTCTTTGTCTGGGATTTGTTTCTTTGTCAAGATGAGAGGATACCTGAACACGTGGATTATACCATGGATTTACTATTCAGCATCAACGAGATCCAAAGACTCATGGCCAGAAACGAGGTGCGTGAACGAGGTGTTTAGCCATGCACATAGAATTTATGTGTTTAGTCATTTTTTTCATACGTGTATACCTAGAGTAGATGTTTAGGTATGCCCTCGGTATTCTTAGGGTTTGTATGAGGGAACCTGTCGCACAGAAAAATGGCCAGGGATGTCGCAACATCTCCCAGTTAATTCGCTGATGACACAAGCCACTGGTCTGAGAAACCATGGTTTTTTTTCATGGAAACCATGGGTTGGAAACCACTAGAATATCAACCACTAGATATGTTATCCATGGAATAGGGTATGACATGGTCATACACTTCATCAGAATCTATCAATCCATTTTCAGCCTTCTGATTTTTTTTTAATTTGATGCATCACTTGGGACAGAATGTACCTCGTAAGGATGTAGTTCGTTCCCTCAAAGATTCAACCTTCCCCTACTTGGTAGCTCATCTCAATTGGAAAGTGGGTTACTGTATATCTCCCTGACTCTAACTGCACATGCCCTTAGCCCACTTGTCGGGGTTGTAGCCCACCCGGAAAAATCCCAGAAACCTTGGCTGATACGATTTCATAGCCCTCATCATTTAGGAGACCATACGAGAGGTTTTCAGTCTGGGGGGATTGGGATCCAACGGGTAGCACTTTGGGTCGGATTGGGGTCGGATGTGGCTGGACTTTCCCTCGAGGTGCGCGCCATGCAGCAAGGTCAGACGGGATCCTGATGATCACTGATGAAAACCGAGACATCCATGTGGTTTTGGTGATCCAAATGGGACTTCAGAGCGGGTTTTCATGGATTCAGCTGAGCCTTGATTTTTTCCCAACCATAGGAAGGAGCATGGCTGGTTTCAATGGATATTGGATCAAAGAAAGGACAGATAAAGAAAGTCAAGCAGGAAACCATGAAATTAGCAACTCGATATGTTTGAAATAGCAAGTAAAGCATGAATGACCACCAAACATCAGGAAAACACAGTGCAGAAATGTTGGTTTACCAAACATCAGTGGGGTATGTCAAGCGGTTGCATGTTATCTCATCATTGAGAGTCCAATGGAATGGACCCATGCAATTCATCATTCAACATGAAACCCCGTTGTGGAAGAGATATGTGATGATATATGTTCTTTCTCTTGGAAACGGACATTTAAATATGTGGAGGGCGGGCCAGACCGCGAGGCCCCGGAGGTAGTATGAAATACCAGTTCGTATATTTAAATGTAGTTACCGTATGTGTAAATGAATTGGATTCCGTATGTTTAAATGGCCGGGCGGGCCAAGGAAAACCTTCCCGGAGGTAGTCTAAAATTCCTGTTCGTATATTTAGAAGTCCGTATATTTTAAAGGTAGTTACCGTATATATATATATAGCCAATAATTATTAACAAGTATTAACCAGTACTAACTATAATTAATTACCATTACATATTCTGTTCACTGCACTGCATGGTCGTTTGATATTCGTTTGATATGTTGCCTCATCCCTGCTGATTTTTTCTCTTGGAAATGGCAATTTGTACTCTGGATACATTCCTTTGGGAATATTGTATATTGGAAAATATTCGGTATCTTGGAATGACTCATTATTAACGATTTAAATCCAATGGATCCAGTATATATACACATAACTTGTATATAAAATGCTGAATAGAGAATTTTCAAAAAAACATCATTAACATGGGAATATCTTTGAAAATCCCATATTCTGTTTACATGAGGATCCGTATATATCTTGTATGATATATGATTAGATATAATCTCGTACTCTATATGTATAATTATATATGTATGTATATAAACCATTATATTATTTTCTTTTATTTAAGTAATGATATATTTCCATCATGTTTCATCTATATACTATACAATGTGGTTATTTAACATAGCTATGGACAATCCATTCTAAATGGAGGTTTTAATGGGAAAATCATTTGTAAGTGGACCATTTTCCATAGCTATGTTAAATAACCAGAGGGTATATACACCATTATCTGATTGGTGGTTTCAAACATTTTTTTCCATAATATATGGGATAATCCTTCCCATTGACTAGTATTTTTCAAGATGCTTAAAGCCACCAACCAGTATGGTAAACAAACATAGCTATAGAAAATGACCATAGAAATAGTGGATTTACCCATTAAAAATGGTGATTTTCCATAGTTATGTTAGTTTACCAGAAGGTATATGATGTTAAGTCCATGCTCCAAGGCCCCTGTAGATGACCATCACAGGCCCGAGTGATCCAGGAGATGGCACAGAGAGCGACAAAATACAGGCTGGGGACAAGCGGCCAACCTTGGTTTGATGCCTTGTACTAGTACTTGTATGTAACATGTATGTGTATCTATGTGTATATGCATATGTAATTATGTAATTATGTATGTGTATATATATATACATGTATGCATATGTGTATTTATATTTGTATTAATGTTAAGCCCCTAACAAGATACGTGTGTGCTATGTGACTGTTCTGCAGATTTTTGACCCCGGGTGGCCCAACTCACCATCCAACTACCAGGGCGGAAAGTTGTCTTTCCCATGGCACATGCTATGCTTCATTGGGTTCGCCCTAAGTTTCTCGCGGGTTTACCACTCTCCATGGTGTAAAACCGGGTAAAATTCCATGTTTCCCAATCTGGGTAGTGGAATCCCATATCCTTAGGATGATGTTGACATTCCCAAGGTAGCTGAAACCAGCAAGCAGTTGGTTGCTGTAGTGTTTGTGAATTATTAAACACTACCCAGAAACGTTGGTTTGAGAGGGAATGAACATGTTTATACACATGTGTGGTATGTTAGCAGAGATCAACAGTTTATATTCAATAATATTCGTTCACATCCATCAACATAACTATATTCACGGTTGATATGTTTAATATCCGTTTATATCCCATCAATATTGTAGTTATAATATCCATTCATATCCCATCAACCATTCACAATTCTCCATTCATATCAGTTGATATTCATAATATCCATTCATATCCAACATCCATATCTTTTTGGGTGGTTTTGTGATGAATTTCCAAACTCTCAGGCCTGGGAAGGCTGGCTGGGTTTGGTGCCCATCGAATCTCCCGTGAACAACCTCAGCCGGGAAACCGAAATGTTTGATGTCCGTCAGTTACGCAGGTGCATAGAAAGCAATGGAAAAATGGTGATTGACCTGAAATTTAACTGAATCTTGAGGGACATTTCATCACATTTGAATGGGAATTTCATGGAAATTCCATATAGCTGGTTTATGCTGGTTTTTTGGGTGGATAAGCCTCCAGTAACTTGGGGATTGGAAGATTGGAAGATGATTAGCTATTGTTTTCCATTGCCCCAACGTTGTGAACATATCCAGTGGAAAACATAGAGAAATGCGCTGGGTTTGGAAGTTGGGGATTTTCAGGATCTATGTGAATTGGGGGGTGGGGAACTGATGGAAAAGTAAGAAAACATAGTACTGTAAATAAATGGATGTGGGTCAAAATGGAAGACCTAGGGGACCACAGATGTTAGTCTAGTTTAGTATTAACCATCCATAATTTTGAGGTACCTAATTTTGACCCATCCCCAAATGTATATAGCTGATTGAACAGTGAAACATAGTGACACTATCCAAATTTTAAGATGGCGACTGTTCTATCCGCAAAAGGGGTTTTACCAAAACTTAATGGTCGATGATGGAAGATCATGGTGTATAATGCAAATTATCACAAGTGATCTGACAGAGCTGCAGCCAAAATTTACCGTAATGGAAAGTAGTATTCGAGACATCTTTATTTTTTGGAAATTGACCTGGGGCTTGGAAAACGACAATACAGTCTTCAAACAACGATAACATTTGCTATATTCCAAAAACCCGAAAAAAACAATCACACACACACTCTTCAAAAAATGATGACTTGGAGCTATATTGACAGTGGCCCATCTCAACAATATCAGTTACAGTAGATGGTAAAGAGTGATACCCGGTTTGATCATCATGGCAATGGAAAATCCTCACGTTGCGCAACGGGGATTTCCCCCGATAGATGATCCCAGAGGATGGTTAAAGGATCCGATTCTCGTTCGATGATGGTGATTTTTAATGGGCTTTCCGGTGTCCCAATCCAAGCAATCCCATGTGAGCAACATCTCTTTGAAGAGTTCTTTGCAGGGACCCCCCAAATTATGGTGATGTTTGTTGGTTTACCCTCTGGAAAACTTTCACATAACTATGGAAAATCACCATTTTTACTGGGAAAATCCACTATTTCTATGGTCATTTTCAATAGCTACGTTAAATTACCAGAGGGTATAACATTTTATAACCCCAACTATCGTGACATATCATGTTCTATTCCCAAACCACAAAGGTTCACTTGCAGTGGCTCACCTCGCAGTGATATGGTGGGGACCTTTTACAGATCACCATATCAGTGGTAAAACGGGATGGTTTCATGAATCGTGTCTAAAGCAATCCAATGGAAGGCATCTCAGCATGATTTTTTTATGGTTAAACTGGGGGTTCCCATGTGGGAAAAATGGGAAGCCACGTGGATGTTGATGGTTAAACCATGTCAAATCCATGGTGTATTGATTGTCGATGTTCTGGCCATCAGGCCCTGAGTTTCTCTTTCAGAAGTGCTACGAGTTGGGAAACTCGCGCCCCTTGGATCCCCTTGGCCCGGCCGTTGTGTCACCTGAGCAAAATCACTGGTGATTGGGGTGCGGCATTCATCTCAAACCGCGCCTGGGATTGATGAGACAAAATGGAGTTCCATTCCCATGCAGTTCCAGTCACAGTAACATATGGGTATGGATCAATACCTATTAATACAATTTTTAGGGGAATGAACATCCATTTACCAGCTATTTTGATGTTCACCAGGGGTACAAGGTTTTGACACACTGCCATATTTTTGTCCATTGAAGCGCAGTAACTTTTTTTTGTCCAATCCCTTGCGGTTCCAGTATGATTGGGGGTTCCTGTATGACCATGCTGAGGAGGTGATTGGATCCCGAGTGGGGATGCACTTGAACAGATGGAACCATTTTCAAATGCTTCAGAGGATGTTAGATGATGCTGAGATGACTTAAGATGACAGGAGGATAAAAACCCATCAAACAGATTCAACACGTATTTACATAGGATAAATAGGATCTATGATAGGATTCACAGATGCTTAAATACTTTGGATGACAGGATGACTTAGGATGACATCTTAAATCTGCAGGGAAAACTTTGCATGCTGGAGAGATGATGGGGGAAAAGATTTGTCGAGCGAAATGTTGCCCATTGGAACGAAGAAGGTTAACTTTTTGACCGCAACACTTTCATCCTGTAAAGCATCGAAAACAGACTATTTCATGTAACTATACATTTTCTGCATTTTCTGGTTGGTGGTTTGGAACAGAACATTTGTTATTTTTCCATATATTGGAATATTCATCCCAACTGACTTTCGCATATTTTTCAGAGGGATAGGTATACCACCAAGCAGATTATAACCATCATTAACCATAGAATAACCATCATCATTAACCATATATTAACAGTATATTATCCACAATGGTAGGTGGCAAAAAACCACCAACCAGCATGGCTGTATAGGATTTCCAGATCCCAATTGAACTGTTAGTTCGAGAGGACGCCGGCACAGTGGTTGGATATGGTTGGATTGGGAGCGCCAAAGCCGAGAGATGGATTCTTTCAACTGATCCTAGCCCAAAACTGATGGGAAATGATTGTTTGAAATTACCCTCTGGTAAACTTTCACATAACTATTGAAAATCACCATTTTCAATGGGAAAATCCACTATTTCTATGGCCATTTTCAATAGCTATGTTAAATTACCAGAGGGTATCTTTTCAATGATCATCATGATCCTCCAAGGTTTTAAACCCAGAAGACTTGAGCAACGAGAATGATCAACGAAGAACCTGAAAAACGATTTGCAGAGGCTGTTTCTTGTTCAACAATGTGCTTTTGCTACATGTTTTTTTTCCCATTCTGGTCTGTTTGGTTCTCCATGCTTGCCATCCCCATCTGTGCTTTATCTGAGTCCGTCAGTCCGTGGATTCATCAGTACTTCCCGGAATCTGCCAATACTTGATGCGAGAAACCATGAATTTTAGAGGAAAACTATGGAAAGCTCCCAGTAGATCGGAAAAAAACCAAGATTTCCCTTCAAATCATATTTATATATATAATATATTGTAATATATGTAATTATATATATTATATAGATAATATATAGATATGTATAAATATATATATATACATACCAAGGATTTCCCTTGAAATCATCCCAATCTCCCCTTTTTTGCTGATCTCACCGACGCCAAGGAGAGCACCCATCCCCGCGGCTGCTGGTGCGGTTGCATATGCCAGCGTTTCCAAGCCGCAAATGGCCACCAGTTGATCCTTTTGGGGGTTGGCATATATACCCTCTGGTAATGACTAACATAGCTATTGAAAATGACCCATAGAAATAGTTGTTTTACCCATGAAAAATGGTGATTTTCCATAGCTATGTTAGTTTACCAGAGGGTATATATATTTATGGATTGGAGGTTTAACCTATCAAATATATATATATATATGGTTCAACATGGTTCAATCAGCTCGCTCACATTATCGGATAGGTCAATGGACCATCTTTTGCAGAGAATAATAAAACGGGCTAGCGCCCGGGTGCCGCCGACCCCTCCTTCTTTGGGACACAACGCTATTATGTGGTCATGCTTAGAGTTTCCAATATGTTTGTCCCGCTTGCCAAAAGTCTGTGAGGAGCAGTATACGCACGGGCCAAGTAGATCACCGACGCGCATGTGGTAACCGTTTCCAGGTGTGGGATGCGCAGGTCGTTGCGAAAGGGTATGTGTATATTTGCCCTGCTTGCAAAGAGAATGTGCCTAGTGACGTGAAGACAGGGCAAATAAACCATCGAACGGTCTGTGGGAACCAGTTTTCTGTCAAGGACGGCGTTGTGCAGGAAAAAGCGTATGTTTACATTTGCCCCGCTTGCAAAGGGAATGTTGCCAGTGACGTCAAGACAGGGCGAATAGACCATCGAAGGGTCTGTGGGAAGCAGTTTTCTGTGAAGAACGGCGTTGTGACGGAAAAAGCGTATGTTTACGTTTGCCCCGCTTGCAAAGGAAATGTGGCCAGTGACGTGAAGACAGGGCAAATAAACCATGGAACGGTCTGTGGGAACCAGTTTTCTGTCAAGGACGGCGTTGTGAAGGAGAAAGCGTATGTTTACATTTGCCCCGCTTGCAAAGGGAATGTGGCCAGTGACGTGAAGACAGGGAAAATAGACCATCGAAGGGTCTGTGGGAAGCAGTTTTCTGTGAAGAACGGCGTTGTGACGGAAAAAGCGTATGTTTACGTTTGCCCCGCTTGCAAAGGAAATGTGGCCAGTGACGTGAAGACAGGGCCAATAGACCATCGAACGGTCTGTGGGAAGCAGTTGTCTGTCAAGGACGGGGTTGTGAAAGAGAAAGGTGGTAAACGGCAAGCTTGAACGCCGAGAAAAGGCTATTGATTTGGCTTTGGGGTATCGTTTGCATTGTGCAAAGGCTGGCAAACGGCAACCTTGGACGCCTAAGAGAATTGATTTGGCCTTGGACCCCCATGACGGGTTGTAAGGGTTTTTAAGCGTTTGGAGGGTTTTTAAGGGTTTTTAAGCGTTTAAGGGCTGGCAAACGGCAGGCTTGGACGCCCATAAGAAGACATTGATGTGTGGCCTTGGAGTGCCTGTTGGCTGCAGGATGAAGCATGCCAAGGGTCCCTTGTGTTTAAGGCCTGGCAAACGGCAGGCTTGGACCCCCCATGACGGGTTGTAAGGGTTTTAAGGGTTTTAAGCGTTTGGAGGGTTTTTAAGCGTTTAAGGGCTGTGGCTGCAGGATGAAGCATGCCAAGGTTCCCTTGTGTTTAAGGACTGGCAAACGGCAGGCTTGGACCCCCCATGACGGGTTGTAAGGGTTTTAAGGGTTTTAAGCGTTTGGAGGGTTTTTAAGCGTTTAAGGGCTGGAGTGCCTGTTGGCTGCAGGATGAAGCATGCCAAGGTTCCCTTGTGTTTAAGGCCTGGCAAACGGCAGGCTGCGACGCCCATAAGAAGCCATTGATGTGTAGCCTTGCGGGCCTGGCAAACGGCAGGCTTGGACCCCCATGACGGTTGTAATAAGGATTTTAAGCGTTTGGAGGGTTTTTAAGGGTTTGAAGCGTTTAAGGGCTGGCAAACGGCAGGCTTGGACGCCTATAAGAAGACATTGATGTGTGGCCTTGGAGTGCCTGTTGGCCGCAGGATGAAGCATGCCAAGGTTCCCTTGTGTTTAAGGCCTGGCAAACTGCAGGCTTGGACCCCCCATGACGGGTTGTAAGGGTTTTAAGGGTTTTAAGCGTTTGGAGGGTTTTTAAGCGTTTAAGGGCTGGCAAACGGCAGGCTTGGACGCCCATAAGAAGACATTGATGTGTGGCCTTGGGGTGCCTGTTGGCTGCAAGATGAAGCATGCCAAGGGAATGTTTAAGGCCTGGCAAAAGGCAGGCTGCGACGCCCATAAGAAGCCATTGATGTGTAGCCTTGCGGGCCTGGCAAACGGCAGGCTTGGACCCCCATGACGGGTTGTAATAAGAGTTTTAAGCGTTTGGAGGGTTTTAAGCGTTTAAGGGCTGGCAAACGGCAGGCTTGGACGCCTATAAGAAGACATTGATGTGTGGCCTTGGAGTGCCTGTTGGCCGCAGGATGAAGCATGCCAAGGTTCCCTTGTGTTTAAGGCCTGGCAAACGGCAGGCTTGGACCCCCCATGACGGGTTGTAAGGGTTTTAAGGGTTTTAAGCGCTTGGATGGTTTTTAAGCGTTTAAGGGCTGGCAAACGGCAGGCTTGGACGCCCATAAGAAGACATTGATGTGTGGCCTTGGAGTGCCTGTTGGCTGCAGGATGAAGCATGCCAAGGTTCCCTTGTGTTTAAGGACTGGCAAACGGCAGGCTTGGACCCCCCATGACGGGTTGTAAGGGTTTTTAAGGGTTTTAAGCGTTTGGAGGGTTTTTAAGCGTTTAAGGGCTGGCAAACGGCAGGCTTGGACGCCCATAAGAAGACATTGATGTGTGGCCTTGGAGTGCCTGTTGGCTGCAGGATGAAGCAGGTTTTAAGGGTTTTAAGCGTTTGGAGGGTTTTTAAGCGTTTAAGGGCTGGCAAACGGCAGGCTTGGACGTTGATAAGAAGACATTGATGTGTGGCCTTGGAGTGCCTGTTGGCTGCAGGATGAAGCATGCCAAGGTTCCCTTGTGTTTAAGGCCTGGCAAACGGCAGGCTTGGACCCCCCATGGCGGGTTGTAAGGGTTTTAAGGGTTTTAAGCGTTTGGAGGGTTTTTAAGCGTTTAAGGGCTGGCAAACGGCAGGCTTGGACGCCCATAAGAAGACATTTGTGGTGGCCTTGGGGTGCCTGTTGGCTGCAGGATGAAGCATGCCAAGGGAATGTTTAAGCGATGGCTTTTAAGGGCTGGCAAGTGGCCTTGGAAAGCTAAGAAGGAGAAGTTCCACACCTGCGGTGGTCCCAGGCGCCGCCCCTGCCTTGGCCAAGGCCGGGGTCGGCGGATCTACCAGTACCATCTACCTAAATCTACTTTGCTGTTCTGATACCAGAATTCCGCAAGCAAATCGTCCACAGGTGTGGCATTTCGATTGCCATGTTTACTGAAGAATTGTGTTTTGTTATATCTTTTCCCTCTGGGTATTGGATGGTATGGCTCAAAATGTTGCCAATTTTATGTAAAGAGGAACGTTACAATTTTAGGAATTCTACTCAAGAATATCTCAAACACTGTCCAAAGACGTGGAAAGTTTGTAATATTTTCTTATTATTTTTGACATAGAGTTGATCCTTTCTATCTTTTTGTAGATGTATCTGAGGTATTGGCCATGTTTTTCTTTCATGGCACGAGGTCAACCGTACTGCGCCACGATTCTCATCCTTGCGGTCCCTGTGGGACGGAGCGCCGGTGTGGCTCCCGGAGAACGTTTGCAGATCTGTGATCGCTCTATGGGTATTGGATCTTGCATCCATATATGTACACTCTATATATCCTAAATCCTATATGCATATATATACACTGCATACACTGTATATACTGTACATACTTTACATACTTTACATACTGTATATACTGTGTATACTGCATGTACTGCATATACTGTATATACTGCATATACTGTATATACTGTATAAACTGTATATACTGTATATACTGCATATACTGTACATACTGTATAATTATACTGTATATACTGTATATACTGTATATGCTGTATATGCTGTATATACAGTATATACTGTATATACTGTACATACTGTATATACTGTATATACTGTATATACTGTATATACTGTATATACTGTATATACTGTATATACTGCATATACTGTATATACTGTATATGCTGTATATGCTGTATATACAGTATATACTGTATATACTGTACATACTGCATATACTGTATATACTGCATATACTGTATATACTGTATATACTGTATATACTGTATATACTGCATATACTGTACATACTGTATAATTATACTGTATATACTGTATATACTGTATATGCTGTATATGCTGTATATACAGTATATACTGTATATACTGTACATACTGTATATACTGCATATACTGTATATACTGTATATACTGTATATACTGTATAAACTGTATATACTGTATATACTGCATATACTGTACATACTGTATAATTATACTGTATATACTGTATATACTGTATATGCTGTATATGCTGTATATACAGTATATACTGTATATACTGTACATACTGCATATACTGTATATACTGTATATACTGTATATACTGTATATACTGTATATACTGTATATACACATACATGCATGCATGCATACATACATACATACCTACATACATACATTCATACATTCATACATTCATACATTCATGCATTCATACAATCATACATTCATTCATACATTCATATATTCATACATTCATAAATTCATACATACATTCGTTCCTACCTACCTACGTACCACCCTATCTACATACCTACATACCTAGACACCTACATACCTACATTACTACATTACTATATACATTACTTCATTACTGAACTATTACATTACTACATTTCATTACATTTCATTACATTTCATTTCATTACGTTTCATTACAGTTCTTTACATTTACATTTCATTACAATTCATTACATGTCATTACAATTCATTGCATTTCATTACGTTTCATTACATTTCATTACAGTTCATTAGCATTTACATTTCATTACATGTCATTACAATTCATTGCATTTCATTACGTTGCATTGCATTTCATTACAGTTCATTACATTTACATTTCATTACATGTCATTACAATTCATTGCATTTCATTACGTTTCATTACATTTCCTTACAGTTCATTACATTTACAAATCATTACATGTCATTACAATTCATTGCATTTCATTACGTTTCATTACATTTCATTACAGTTCATTACATTTACATTTCATTACATGTCATTACAATTCATTGCATTTCATTATGTTTCATTACATGTCATTACAGTTCATTACATTTACATTTCATTACATGTCATTACAATTCATTGCATTTCATTACGTTTCATTACATTTCATTACAGTTCATTACATTTACAAATCATTACATGTCATTACAATTCATTGCATTTCATTACGTTTCATTACATTTCATTACAGTTCATTAGCATTTACATTTCATTACATGTCATTACAATTCATTGCATTTCATTACGTTTCATTGCATTTCATTACAGTTCATTACATTTACAAATCATTACATGTCATTACAATTCATTGCATTTCATTACGTTTCATTACATTTCATTACAGTTCATTACATTTACAAATCATTACATGTCATTACAATTCATTGCATTTCATTACGTTTCATTACATTTCATTACAGTTCATTACATTTACATTTCATTACATGTCATTACAATTCATTGCATTTCATTACGTTTCATTACATTTCATTACAGTTCATTAGCATTTACATTTCATTACATGTCATTACAATTCATTGCATTTCACTACGTTTCATTACATTTCATTACAGTTCATTACATTTACATTTCATTACATGTCATTACAATTCATTGCATTTCATTACAGTTCATTACATTACACTACAGTTCATTACAATTCATTACATTACCTACAGAATGATTAGTTTGTTTTTTTTTGGACCATACATTCGGCAAATCATTGAACTAATGGGCCACTTACCATGGCTACTGTTCAATTACCTGAGGGTATGAAGAATGACATGAGGTACCCTGCAAAAGTGATGGGTTTGATTGCACTGATCATGAAACAATAAAACATGTGGAGTGATCTGCACTTTGGTGATCATACCAGGACCTTGAGTTTAAGTAATGCCCGCATACGCCCTAGTTTCTTGAGGGATGTAGCCAAAAAAAGTGATGAAGTACTCTCCCAAGAGTCTGGAGATCAATTTGATCACGACCGTCGCGACTTTACTTGAATGATGGTGAAACGATTGGGGTATCTTCAAATGGCCGAAGAACTAACTCGGGTTGTTGTGAGTTTTAATTCAGCCAGATTCATCTATCCCCATTATATCAAAATGATACCATTATATCATATCCATATGATATACCATCTATCCCCATTATACCATGGTTATCAATCATTATATCCAAATGATACCACCATTTTTGTGGCTCAAATTCCCTTTGCGATGGTTAAAATCCTTGGCGCCAAGTTGGCTTGCCAAGGTCTCAAAGTTATGTACCACAGGCAACACAGGCAGCTGGGGCTGGTTTTTTTTTTCAAAAAAAAGTGGAGGTAAACTAAGAGAAATGAGACTTTTACGTGATTTGAATATATTTCAATGGCTGAAGAATGGGTTTCCGCCAAAATTGAGATGTAGATTGGAACGTGGAACGGGTCTTTTGACCCTGAGAATTGGCCCTGATAATTGACCCAGATAACATGGTCGCATCCCAAAAGTGTTGCCGAAGTGTTGCCGGAATGGTCCAAGACTATCCTTGAATAAATCAATTACTACTGGTCTTTGTCAATTTATCAATACCTACCTGAGACCTTCTTGAAAAGCAGTATTCTCTGGATAGACCAACTGCTTCGGCTAAAGATACGGAGCAAAATGTGGCATGGAGCGTGAATTCCAGCTAAAGGATTGTTGTAAAATGTTGTAAACAGGGTTTGAAGCAGCAACGCTGGTCCTGGTGTCAGATAATCAGACTAGTGAACACCAAGAAGACGTTAGCTGAGTCAACCTTGCGTTTGTAGGTCAACGGTCCATGCTTTGTTGGCGCATGTTTTTTCCCATCTCATCAGCCCCGGGGGTCATTAAACCATATTAAACCTCTATTGTATCGGATAGTCTGTTGTTGGGTTTAGGACCCAAAATCCCATGATCATCATGCAGCCACTAACCATATTTTCCTGTCACGCTTCCATCTGCCAACTTATCGGAGGTGACGTTCAAATGTGAGGCAAAGGGGCCCCAAAATCCCGACCGGGGTTCAAAGAAAGCACAAGTGTTCCCGACTTTGAGTTGCATTTTTTTGGGATATGGAACTTCTCAAAATTGCGGACAACCAAAACATGAACATGGACAGGTTTTGATGATTTTGGGGTTCCCAAATCGCACGAGAAAAAACACGCAATTAGCATACCTGGGAATATAAACAACCATTCATACTTAAACTACCATGATGCACATCCTTCTAAGATTATCATCCCCATAGAAAGCCAGCTGTCCTTGTCAGGTGCCAACACCCCTGGGAGGCCTGAACACTGCGTGGCAAGGCAGGCGACATGAGGATTTACGGATTTGACTGCAACCGAACATAATCAAAATATGTCAACATGCAGATTTACTCCATTTACTCTAAGTAGCTAGAAACATATTGTATATTTGTATAAACTGGAGTTGACAGGGAAAGAAATGAAAAGGGTGTAAGCTGGCAAGAATAGGTTTTGACAAACAACACTTGAAGCTTCACTAGCAAGAATTATTATCTAGCACGTAAAAGCCCAAGCGGTATTAAACCCCAAGAATGTGTGGACATGAGTATGTTGTCGTTATTGTCATATGCGTTCAAGCAACCACGGACTTTTTTTTCACAACAAGAGTGGGGATTGTGGGGAATTCGACCATGTTCAACCAATTTAAGCATTGAACCAAAGCAACCAGTGATTGAACAACATCCCTGGGATTCCAGGTGTGCACGGCATCCATGAAACATTACCCTCTGGTTATGTCAAAATAGCTATTGAAAATGGCCATTGAAATAGTGAGTTTTCCCATTAAAAATGGTGATTTTCCATAGCTATGTTAGTTTACCAGAGGGTATTTTCTAACGTGATAAAGCCAAGGGAATCACTCATCCCGCTATTTTTATCCGAAGTTTTCTGGAGACACAGCATCCTCCATGTTTTTCACGACCCCCAAGCGTTTCAAGCGTTTGCTAGGTCCAAATCCGGATAAGGAGCTCGAGGCCTCATGGACCGAAGCACCTGGTAGGTTGGTGCCTTTTTAACACATTCTGGTTGTACAACTTCCACTAAGAAAGATTCTTATCAAAGGAAATTCCGTAGAGAAACTCCGAATTAAAATCATTAAGTCCTGTTGGCATGTTCCTGAAGTAGAGTAGAGTAGAGTAGAGTATATAGAGTTCGGCAGAGTAGCGGCACTTGGGCATGGCAAGCCGTGCTGAATTGCTGGGAGGCATACTCCAATGATACATAGTTTTCTCAAGAGCCACATCATCAATGTCCAACAGCAATTCTCATCAATTATCACGAGGCGTTATAAAAGTTATACCAAGGACCAGTCAATGCAGCAAATTGATTTATCCTTGGAAGGCTAAGGACAACAATAAGCCAATAAGCTTACATCCTTGGAAACTAATTACTGGTGGCTTTGGACTGAGAGCAAGGTGAGCAGTCTCTGAGTCTCCATTAAACGATATCTACCTGTTTAGTTTAAAGCCAAGAGGAAGGAGCAATGGGCAAGCGAAAACTCCTGTAGGCAAAACTTGTCTTTCACTCCTACAGTATAACATTTCCAGCTGATGGAAACTTCCGCCACCTGCCTCGTGCGGGTTCTACTTGCATTCTAATTCTGATTCTGATTGGAATAGTTCCTGTAACATTCATACCATTCCTCCATTTCCAATGTCTGATTTCCGATTCCGATCCTTATCACGTGGATCCGCTCGCAACGCCGAATAAGGCTCCAATTGTTCATATCTGGAAAACCAGCTCATTTATAAGTCTTGACCGGGGGAATCTCATTGGTGGTGTCATTCAATAGAAACATCCTGATTTGGAGCAGTCCTCAAATGGTTGGTATTCTTGCAAAGAGTGGAAACCACCAAGCAAATGTATTTGAAACCACCTTCTGGAAAATTAGGGATGGTTTATGCTTTAAGGTTACCACATTCATAGTTTTTGTATGTTTTTGTTATCTTTTGCTTGTATCTTCCATGGCATCCTAAAGTGACAGATAATTTAAATATCTATAATTCTCTAATATAGATTAAATCCTCATCATCGTTAATCATTTCCCTCCAGGTCAACCTCGTAAACTTGACCTTCGGACTTGGGTTTGAATTCACACTTTGGTCACTTACCCTCTGGTAATTTAACATAGCTATGGAAAATCACCATTTTTAATGGGAAAATCCACTATAAATGGCCATTTTCAATAGCTATGTTAAATTACCAGAGGGTAAAATTCATTGAATTCTCAGCCACTGCTGGATCGCGGTGGAAGCCCGGCGGCTCGCCATGCCGCGGTGTTTCGTCTAGGCGACTTGGAATTCACCAGGGAAACTGGGAGATCCCAAAGAAGTGATGGGCAGTGAACGACCAAAGCACTAACTCACCAAGAAAACAACAAATAATATATATATATAATATATATATAATCTTTAATAGGGAGAATGTGCTCATAAAAAAATGGAAAGTTCTGGCAGTCAGTCATCAAAAAGTGGAAACTTACCCAACCCAGAAGGGTTTTTGGCCAACACTACAAAGGACGTTGGGCCATGGTGTTGCACCTGCTCGAAAGGTCATGTTGCTTATGCTAGCGGACTGACTAACTTGGAGTGTAGGACGACTCGTATCGTCTTGTGTGGAAGGTCACTAGGAAAATATTTTGGTGAGGTAGATTTTCTGGACGGAACTCTGATCACTTGACACCGGTCCTGGGATGGTCATCAATCCATTAACAGAGCTTTGTACACGCATCATGTTTAGAATCCCATGTTGATGGGATGACCACAACCCCCTTAATCCCAGGTCAAGTAGTGACCATTGTTGATGCGGAATCGGCATTATCCCAATCAAACAATCCTTATTGTTGATGGATAAATAGTTAAATCCCCATTGTTATCCCCAAATTTACATGGTAACTCTGGCGATCTTTGCAGTCAGTCTTCTGGGAAACAGCTGAGGTTGCTTGTGCAATGTAGTCCATGACGGGTTGAGAGCGCGACCCGAAAGAGACGGAAACGGCGCCTGCGTTGCTGTAGTCCATGCGACCAGAACGCCGCGAACGCCGGGAACACCAAGCGGGATATGATGGATGGAGCGAATGGATGAGCATACGTCAAGTTTCTAAAGATTCATGTTTTGCGGGGAGACAACAAGGACAACATGAATATGTATATTATATTATTAAAAATTATATACATGAATATGTTTTGATCTCAAATGATAAACTGAACTTATTGTCAAATTGACAAATTGACAAACGGAAACACATGGCTGATGTTCATTCTTTCTATGTATTTTATATCCCATTTGCTGATCGTTTACGCTGTGACATCCACCCTGACAGTTAGACATCTCTCATGTTTGGCAAGAAATAAGCTCTATATGTATATACATCATATGTATAGATATACATATTATATATATACATATAATGGTTATTGAACATTGTATATTAAATGTTAATAACGTTCACATCTCATGTTTTCTTGCCGTGGGTTTCTCCCGTTTGTGGATGTTCATAGATTTTCCAGCACAGTTGACTCGTTTCGTGTTTCGAACTGAGGCGTTCTTTTGACGCCAGTTTCAGCGGTGCAGCAACTTGGCTGTTTCGAGCTACATTGCATCTCCCATGTTCATGAATTGTGGATGATATATATACTGTATGCGCTGAATGTATATGATGTATACAATATAGTATATATGTAGTAAATATGTATGATACGTACACAAAAGCTGTAATTGTAGGCACATGCAATTATGTATTTACATATGTATACATAATATATATATACACGTAAAGGTACATACATACATAAATACCTACATAGATACATAGATACATAGACATATACATAGACATATACATAGACATATACATAGACATATACACATACATAGACACATAGACACATAGACGCATAGACACATAGACAGATAGACACATAGACACATAGACACATAGACACATAGACACATAGACACATAGACACATAGACAGATGGATAGATAGATAGATAGAAAGATAGATAGATAGGTAGATAAATATAGATAGATAGATAGATAGATAAATAGATAGATAGATAGATAGATAGATAGACAGACAGATAGATAGATAGATAGATGAATAGATTAGATAGATAGATAGATGGATAGATAGATAGATAGATAGACAGACAGACAGATAGATAGATAGATATATAGATAGATGCATGCATGCATGCAGCATACATGCATACATGCATACATGCATACATGCATACATGCATACATGCATACATGCATACATGCATACATGCATACATGCATACATGCATACATGCATACTTGCATGCATACATGCATACATGCATACGTGCATACGTGCATACGTGCATACGTGCATACGTGCATACGTGCATACGTGCATACGTGCATACGTGCATACGTGCATACGTGCATACGTGCATACGTGCATGCATGCATGCATGCATGCATACATGCATACATGCATACATGCATACTTGCATACTTGCATACATGCATACATGCATACATGCATACATGCATACATGCATACTTGCATGCATACTTGCATGCATACATGCATACATGCATACGTGCATACGTGCATACGTGCATACGTGCATACGTGCATACGTGCATACGTGCATACGTGCATACGTGCATACGTGCATACGTGCATACGTGCATACGTGCGTGCATGCATGCATGCATGCATGCATACATGCATACATGCATACATGCATACATGCATACATGCATACTTGCATACTTGCATACATGCATACATGCATACATGCATACATACATACATACATACATACATGCACACACTATTTTACATTATACATAAAGCACTATACCACCAAATGTATATATATTAACATATATATATGTATGGCATTTATGTATCTCCACTAGAGTGTGTATATGTATATACGATATATATATATAGATAGACAAACAAATCCGACATTTTATTATGGGGTAAAACATTTTTGGGTGTTACTTGGAAAATAAAAATATGATATAGATGATCATTACGAACAACTGTTATGCACTTGCCTTTCCCGCCCAAGGCGTGCTTTTCACGTGGCAAATGATGCGGAACCAGCGCCGACAGAGGCGGGGGAAGCCTCTGGTGTTTATGGGGAAAATGGTGAATTTAACCATCGAACATGGTTTGAACAGAGTGATTTTACTAGATTTTTCCCATCCAAAATGGGGAATTTATGGGATATCCCTGAACTAGTCATGAAGGTTTCTAACTGGGAAAATCATAGATGAAATGATTATAATTATAAATGGAGAAATATCCAATCCATGTTTGGTTGCCGGAGTGTATGTGATTCTGTGTGGGACAGGGGTTCATGATGTATACCCGATGCCAGCAACATCCATAAACCATCCCAGTCACCAAATAGAGGTATATCCAATTTCACAAACGTCAATGTGGGATGGTTTATGAAATTGGCTTTACCACATTGGAAATGTGTGAATCTCTAATTTCCTGGCTAGATATCATGGTTCTCTGATTGAAGTTGCTTTCAACAATCTTCAACATTGTTCACAAGAGTTTCGCAAGAGGTCTTAGATCCACAGTCCAAAAAAACCTTTTGCCGCCTCTACATGTCGTGATTCCTTATTTGACCCTAATTGGTGCGAACCTGGAGAAGGATGAAAATCTGGTTTTTATGGCCACACTGAACCCTTGGAACCATCCATTTTTCTGGAGATTTTCTGGGGATGAAGCCTTCCGCCTGACTCAACATGCAAGGTTTTGAAGCACGATGTGAGTCAAATCACTCAATTTTGATCGTTGGATGATGTTGGATGATTTGGGTATGGATCAATACCTATTAATACCATTTTTAGTGGGATGAACATCCATTTACCAGCTATTTTGATGTGAACTACAGGGGTACCAGGGTTTTGACCCATCCCCATTTGTCATCCCGCTTGGGATTTTTTTTTGTTTTTTACAGTTTGCTCCAAGATGAAGATGAGTATAATTAGCCATGC